CCACCTCTCATTTCCACCAGCCTGAGAGACGTGGAAAATATTGAAAGTACTGGAGAAATAACTATAAATATTTGACTCACCCATGTGGGAGGAATGAACACTTGAAATCACAAGCCTCACCATATACTAAAAATAATGTCTGAAAAATGGGAAGGATATCCAGTATCCTGGGAAATTCAGAGGTATCGCTAGCTCTTGCTTGACTCCTAGCACCTCTCCTTTCTGTGAGAGACTTCATGCTAGCAGACTAGAGGTGGGAGCAGTCTAGGTGGAAGAGGAATGCAAAAAAAAGAAAAAGCCCCGAAGGTCTATGAACAGCAGCTGGGAAAAACTGTCATCAGGGAATCAGATTTCACTGGAGACTCCCACGTCACAATCAGTCAGTGACCGGTTAGACTTTGACAAGCCACTTCAAGAGGGTCAAGAGGTTAGGGAGAGGCAGTATCAGTTCTAGAGTAAAATGTGGAATAGGTCTAATAAATCAGTGTAGATTCAGGAAAGCATTAATAGGAAAACTTTCTTGACAAGAACTTAAATGGTATGACAAAGTTATGATTTTGTTGAAATAGACTGGATTTAGCTTAAGTACTTAAGTACTTACATTGCAGTGGATACTTAACCTCTGACGTGTCTTGTGCTTTCAAGTTCTCTTTTCACCACATTTCAATACAAAGAAGTGTAAGTCAGTAAATGAAACATCTTACATTTTATTTAAAACCGAGCAACCCCTCAGAGGGAGTAGGAACATTAGTCAATTTATCCACCAGTAAACACAGGCAACAGAAAAGTATGTAAGTTCTGGGCAATAAGGGAACAGTAGTTCGTTATTCACTGACTAGTGCTTTGGTCTAGAACATTCAAGTAGGCTTGAGCCTATTCTAAACTAAAGGAAATATATTTATTACTTCCCTCTTCAGAGCAAACAAAGGTATTAATTTAATTTCTCTAAAGATTCTTTATGCCTTGATTTGTCCCATATTACAGCAGCCCGAATCCTTGAGAACATGGACACCACTGCAGAGCCTTGTAAAGATTTTTACCAATATGCCTGTGGAGGATGGCTTAAGAGGAACGTCATTCCAGAAACCAGCTCCCGTTATAGTAACTTTGACATTTTAAGAGACGAACTAGAAGTTGTTTTAAAAGGTCAGTGGGGTTTATGTTTGTGGACTATATAAAGTTTCTTCTTTGGCTTACATGTTATCCTAATAAGATGTGGTTGTCTAGCAAAGCTTAAAATACTACCAAATACTTCAGTTTCTTTGTGTTCGGTTCAGGACAAATCTACCACGAACTGTGTGCTTGGAGAATGCTGTGGAAGTTATGCTGTCGTGTCTGACACTGGAGCAGAGCTGACCAGACCTGACCTTTCTGGTATCTGGACTCTGTCTGCTCATCTGCATATTGTAACAACTGAAATCCGTATCATTACCCTCATGCACGAGCCATAGCAGCCAAGCCAGGTGAAGAAGAGAGAGATCTGCCTGTGTGCAAGGCAGCTGAAATGCTGGAGGCTGCTCTCTGGCAGCCTTATGTCCTGCATATCTGTATTCCATCAGCTAAATCCCAAAGAGCAGCAAGCAATTTTCTAACCAGTCACATCATAAACTTACAAATATTCCTTTTTCCACAAAATGTAATAAGAGTCAAATTGTCCGTATTCCCCTTTTTCAGAGGAAAATAACAAAGAAGTCAGTTTATACTCATGAAACATTCTCCAAACCACTCTCTCCAGACTGAAGATCCCTTTTTTACTCTGGTTTTGCCAGGTCTGCAGTTTATGGATGCCACTGCGTTTGTTCCTTAGGCTTCAGTTTCTGTGGAATTGTAAAGTAGTACCTGGAGTAACTGTGAAGCAGTGGCAAGAGCGGGCTGCCCCACGAGGGTGAGCCGGGAGCCAACCGTGACAAAGGCCTCACAGACAAGGGGCTCAGTCCCACAGGACCCAAACCAGAGGAGCAGGGCAGGTCCGGTAACAGTGACCAGGTTCAGCCAACAGCCCCGTGGCCGCCAGGCTAGTGATGCAGCGGGTCGCAGGCAAGTCCGGCAGGCAAGGTCAGGCTCAGCAAGGTGCAAGGACAGGCCCAGCACACCTACGGGAGGGTGGGCAAGGACCCTGGGCAAGGGGCTGACCTCCCCTGCTGCTCCTGAGCCAACGGGCACCGGGTGCACAGGTGGAATCACCACATGAGGCTTCTCACGGCTCTTTCTTACAATTTAGCTGTTTTCACAGAAGTACGACCCACGGTCGCACAGCTGCACCACCCCAAAGCAGACCTTGAACGCCAACAGCTGAACTGGCTGCCGCGAAGGGAGCGCAGGTTAGACTCACAGGAAGAGAGGGTACGGGCTGGCCCGCGCAGTCGGAGCCTGCTGGTACACTGAGAGCCCCGACAGCCACAGCCTGGTCACCTAGAAACTGTCCCTGAAAAGTCAGAGCATTTGTATTTCACCAAGGGTGATCCACAGAGCATCTGCTGGCTCCTTCACGCTCAACTTATTAACACAGACTGATGTCATTGCAAGCCAGAGCTTTTTCCCCTCAGCTTTTGAAAAGCAAAGCTTCCCTGGAATTGGAGATGGACGCGGAGTACTTATCGTCCACCCTCTGGTCCTCAGCATGGTATCCACTGTGGTTCCTTCAGTGTCCTTCCAGGAAAGGTCAGATATTAAGATATATTTGCTGTCTGTGTGTTTCAGATGTCCTTGACACACCAAGCAGTAATGATATAACAGCAGTGCAGAAGGCAAAAACTCTGTACAGATCGTGCATAAATGAAAGTAAGTGAATTCATTGCATGTAGGATATTGAAGTATCATCCAAAGAATCCCATCTTCACAGTCAGCTATACCTATATCCTCCTAGTTTCTGAGCATTATTTTTCAGAAGTTTTTTGTGAAAATGAAAATGTATCTGTTCTGTAGAGTCAAAAGAAGAAAGTCAATAGTAAAATTAGTGTTGTATCTCCTCTTTGACTAGCTTGGCTATTTTGGGTGAGATTACACGACACTTCAGTTACCAGTTTGCTGCAGATCTTTAAACTCAAATCTTTTCAGTTAAATGTGAGTTAATTTGTTTTGTAGAAACTATCAGGTATGAGGTGAAAAGTAACTGGCATACCAGGCTTCTAGAAAGACAGGGAGATCATTTATTGGAAGAATTTGAGCTAGATGCTGCCATTAGAGTGGGGAGCAGTGAAACAGTTAGCAGTGCTTCCTAAATCACGGTTTTGTAGTCTCTATCATGTCATTAATACTCCTCAAAACTATTATTTCAAGCTATCTGCAGAGTGAAAATACAATAGTTCTTCAGTGTCATGGTCACAAGGGTTTGCATATGCTGTTTGCAGCCAGGTCTGAAACATTTTTAAAATTAAATGTTAAAAGCAGTGTCACGTATCAGACCATACTCTATTGTGGTGATGGTGAAACCATGCTTCTCAGCTTCATTATTCTGAACTCATATAACACTACAACATCTGTGTGTTTTAAAATGTAGTGGTAACTCATTTCATTTTTTCCAAAAGCTACCATTGATAGCAGAGGCGGGAGGCCTTTAATCAGTTTATTGCCAAACATATCTGACTGGCCTGTAGCAACAACTAACTGGGATTCTTCCTATGGTAAGATAATCTGTGTTTATTTCCTTTTCAGTCAAAATTTGTAAATTACTGTACCTTTCCTTGCTTACCAAAGGCAGTGACTGAGCATACCTTTCATTTGCTTAGGTGCTGCCTGGACAGCGGAGACAGCTATTGCACAGCTGAACTCCAGATACGGGAAAAAAGTCCTTATTAATTTTTTTGTCGGCACAGATGATAAAAATTCCACAGCACATATCATTCACGTAAGTCTTCCTGGGTGGCATTGCCTTGTTGGTCATCAAAGTGCAGCCAAGTAACTAGAAGCACAGACACCAGCGTTAACCAGGAGAAACACTAGTGATTTGAATGTTCCCAGAGTAAGCTGTAGATGAGTTAGTGAATCCATGTCATTTTCAGACTTAAATTAGCAGTTTCAGGGTGCACTGTCCATTCTCAAAGTTAACACCTCTGCTCTGTGCACTCACACGCCGTTATTCTCAGCGAGATGAGAATAATGGAGACATACCTAGACATGCAGACACAATGTACGTGTACGCTGGACAGCAGGCAGACATGACCTACTTAGATATGCATGCAAGCAAACAAGTAAACACGACTTCCTTACCACGTACGTCAGGCAGAATGCCTGTCACTGAAAACCTGGGCTACGGTCCCGATGGCAGAAAGCCCACAGAGGGGGTTGTGCTTTTACAACCAGAGCACTGATGGGACCTGCGGTCAGCCGGCACGGATAGGGAAGTGGCTGAGGACACTTGCATGAGAAGCGTGCCGAGAGTGCCCAGCCCGTAAATGTAAGGTGATCCCTGAAAATGGAAAATCCAGAGGAAGACAGTATTATGTGTGGTGAATCTTCACCAGCCGCTCCTGAGACGCAACAGTTACAAGAGCAAAGGTCTGATCTTTCTTCTCAGTGGGCAGATAGATCCTTGACTACCTTGCACGTATGAGTTTTAAAGATGCAGGAACTGCCTTGCTTGTCTGTGGACTGTCTGTCTTCTGTACATCCACTGTTTCCACACTGGGTACACGTCCGGTGCATTGTTCAGCAACAGGAAAAGAAAAAAAGAAAGACTGAAAAGAAAGACAAAAAAGCGTAAGGAGAGTGAAAAGAATTAATGGAGGGCAGCAGGATGAGAAAGAAACTCCCCTCTGGCCAGAAGTTAATTTATCAAGAGTGAAACATCAGTGACCTGCAATTGAGAGAAGAATAGCACGATGCCATGCCATTTTGTCTTTAAGCACTTTTTATTTGACTTTATAGATTGACCAGCCTGGGCTTGGCCTGCCTTCTCGTGACTACTATGAATGCACTGGTGCGTACAAAGAGGTAAGATGAAGCTGACAGATCACTGACTACATTTTAGGAGTTCAGAACCAAAGACACGCTTTTCTGCCTGAAAGATCCAGAAAGATCACAGTCCCCTAAGTCAACTGCTGAACAAAAATGCAGCAGCTAAAGTATGTGGTATCACAGAAATTGCTTCGGATACCTAAAATGTCCTATGGTGGTCTTTAATTGGTATTTGGCTGACATTCGTACACCTTTTCATTAACCTGTTAGCGCTGACACTGTGTATTCCTTGTTGCTAATCTTGGATGTGCTTTAAGTCCTGGAGAGCTCAGTATCTGTATATGCTGAAGTCATGTAGCTGAAACTGCTACCAAAGTAACCTTTAATTAGCCAGTTTTCTTCTGTGTAATTAGATGCAGAAGCGATGAGAAAGCCTACAAAACATTTTGGGTTTGTAGGTATTTTGCTGACATGCTAACAGTTAACACTCTAATACTGATTACGTTTAATTACAGATCAAATGCTAGTACAGACAATCATTACCACATTAACTGTCAGTTACCTTATTGTCACATGTGTTATGGCCTCTAGGGGCTGGCTCATGTATCACCATTTTCTCCCTTCCTTGTGTTACATCGACTGCAGCACCAACAGACAGTTCCCGTTCAAATCTCTGACCTACCCAAAAGTGCCACACTGCTTTCCACTGCTGGAAGGTAGAGGAGGAAGTATTTTTAAAAAAAACCCAGAGATTTATCACTGGAAGGCAGATTCATAATATTCTTACAAGCATGAATACTGGAAGCGAGAGATGTTGCTCCTTTCAGTCCCCGCGCTCTGACAGCAGCCTTTTCTCGGCTCTGCTTCCCGCTGCCTCATTCCCTTTCAGCCGTACCCACAAACAAGGTACCGGCTCCTGCACTTTAACCTCTGGCTTTGTCAGCCCTTCCCACCACAAAGCTACAAGTCGAATCTGTGAACAAGATATTTTTAAAATCTTTTTCTCTTGTAAGGTACACGACTTCTCTGCTCATACAGGAGTTATTCTGACATCGAAGTTCCTACTAAAATATCTGAGAGTACAGTCCATCTGAAATTAGCTGACTTCATTCTTTGCTACCTGACCATACAATGATCTGCACTTTAGGCCAAAAATAAAGTCCATTGCTTGGTACCTGAAGATCTCTCTTCACTCACTGGTTTGGGGCAATATCTGCACTGAATTTTTATAATTGTAGTTGGATATTTTAAGACGGTATTTACAGGCTTAGCGTGCGCTCCCGTTGGGGACTTGTGGCTGTCAGTGGTTTCATGGGCTTTTCTCTCTCTGATAAAAGAATCTCATCTTGATTAAAAATAGCACTGAGAGTTCAGTCCTTCAGGAAGCCGTGAGCCACTGTCTGTGTGAAGTCTGCTGCCAGAACCTTTCAGGGGCTGCTCAGGGCTCCCAGCGCACACAGCCTGGTGCGGGCTGGCAGGAGACGGACGGGGGGGAAGGTCGTTGTCAGAATGGCTGTAGAGATGTAGCATTCCTTCGAGGGGTGCGTCCTACTGCCTTAGGAGCTCAACATACCCAAATATTTCTGTTGGTAAAGCTGATGACATGCACACCTTATTAATCCGAGGTTTTATCACTGTTTGAGTAGATTACGCTATTTTGCATAAAATAGATTTATTATTAGATAACTAATCTAATACCGTGTGGGTTTATTTGCATTTAAAAAGCATATTGGAAACAGCATTTCTGTTTGTTGATAGAAAAATGAGTGTGGCTTAAAGAGGAATTAGAATAATATTAAGTTCCACAAAATATAACGAGATCTGTAGATATTTGACGGTGTAAGAGAGCATACTTCCCTATCTCCATTCTTATCCTTGGTGAATTCCGCTATGTTAGATGTAATATAGGCCGTATTGTCTATAGTATATCTAGGTATGTAACTTCAGATACAGCTACGTGATTTCTGAATGTTCCAAGAAGCAACAGAAGAGGTAACGCTGCTTCTGGGAGTCATTTTCCCACAATGCTAATTCAACACAGTCCATCAGCATTTCTCTCGGTTTTATGTTTCTGGGAACATTGCTCTTTGAAAGTGGTATTTCTGGAAGTTTTAATTAAAATGGGCTAGAAAAAACACAGGTGATGGTTTAAATATGGGCGTACAAACGTCTCATTTTCAGTAATGAAAGCACAGTGCGGTACTTGAGAGTGTTTAGCTCTGAGCAGTGCTGCAAATTATACAGCAATTTTCCATGAGGGAATTCTCAAAGTTAATTTCTATTTGTGATCTAACAGTATTTTAGAATAAATTACTATTAAACTATTTAAGAAAGGGATGAAGAACTGTAGTTCATAAAAATGAAGATGAAATCTTAGAGACAAGGTGTGCTATTGCTTTGAAGAGTTTTGTCTTTAAAATGTTTGTGTTTCTTCCTGCAGGCATGTGCTGCCTATGTTGATTTCATGATTTCTGTAGCTAAACTCATCCTACAAGAAAGAAGTATTTCTTTCAATGAGAGCGAGATTTCTGAACAAATGAACAGAGTTATGGACCTGGAGAAAGAGATTGCCAATGTAAGAAAAACATTTTTAAAGTATCCTTTAAGTAACTGACTTTTTTCCTAAACCTAAGAAAGCTACCTGGAGACCGAGTGGTTCAGTTACCGCCTAATGTTCTTTTGTGGGACGAAAGCCAGCGAAAATGTACGGGGCCGGGAACGCCCGAGGGGAGCACATACGAGTAAAGGAAAATGTCTGAGTCAGCTGTTTTCCAAATAGCAAAACATTTTATCCTAATCTGTTCACAGACGCCCTTCGAGAGAGGAGAGAGAGAGCAAGAGAGACAGACTTGGTTTCTGTTTAGTCTGTTCTAGTGAGTTTTGGGAGATGCTCTCAGGCCTCTGCTCCCTTTCTCCTGTCTTCCCCGTGGGCTGTTTGGTTCTCGGAGCAGCAGCCTCCCAGCCCTTGGCCTGCCGTGCCACACAAAGTCATGTTTGTCCTGCACAAGCTGCTCCACAATGCTGATTGTTCCAAGTGCATTTTTAATCAAACCCTGTTCTCCATTAAATTATGGCTTGGAGAAATAGCTAGAATTTGAACTTGCACAGAGGAAAACAAGGGGAAATTCAAGCGTTCATGAGCAAAACCATGGCTTATGGTTATTAAACCTTTCAGAAGGACCTGAAGCTGAGGCTGACTGTAAAACAAGCCAAATACAAATTTTATAGCTTCAGCTATTTTTCAAGTTACACTGATAGTAAGGGCACGTGTTTGGCAGAGGAAGACCCTCCCCCCCCCCATTTATCTAAACTAAAACCATCTGATTTTTATTTTCTTCACATTTTCCTGAGAAACACACCTCTGGGCTTAGATCAGAGATGGAAAATTGTTACAAGAAAAGGAGTTCATTGGAGAAAGATTTGAAAGGGAGTGCGAAAGGAAACCACAACTGAGCTGTCTCTACAGCAGCTGCTGCTGGTAGAGAGTACGGTTGGTGACGGATAAGCTGCTAGTGCCTCGGGTTTTAACCTCTTTCATCGAAAACTCAGCACCAGCCTGAATGTTACTGGAAGAGAGCTGGCATTGTGCTCTTGGGAATTTGTTAAAGACAAGTGCAGAAAAGATACTGAATGCACAATAGATTAGGAAAGAGGAAGCAGAAGAGAAATCTTTTCAAAGACAGAGAGATAAAATCACTTAAAAAGAGAGAGAGAAAATCAGGCTTGGCATGACTGATTTTTCTAAACAGTTTAAAGGGGTAAAATCTACTGTTCTCACTCCTGACCAAGGCAGTGAGGAGCACTCGAGGCAGCAGTGATGTAGGTTCTCCCATGAATCACTCTCATGGATCACAAGATCACTCTTCTCCCAGAGTCGTTTGTGTACCTGCATTTTCTCTCTTTGCCATCAAAAGAAGTGGAAGTTAAAAGGGGGTGGAGTATGAGGGGAGCAAGTGCTGATGCTGTCACAAGGTACTTCTGCAGGAGAACGAAGGTGTGAAGGAGGATACAAGAAGGCACTTCAGAAACCTGCAGAAGCATCCTAGCAAGGGGCACACTACTGTTTGAGGCAAAACCCAGAAGAATATCCAAGAGCATATTCAGAGACCAAGGGAGTAGTTACCGTTTGGGGCTGCTTTTGTCTCCTCTCGGGCTGCATTGTCCACACCCTAATCCAGAGACCTCCCTGCTGACACTGGCTGGCTGGAGACTCCGGCGATCACCCGGCCGCACAAAGCACCCCCCGGACAGGGCTCCGGCAGCCGGGCAGTTTCCCTGTCGGTGAGGAACGGCCCTGCCGCGGTCCTGCCGCTCAGGCGGTCACGGCTGACACAAACACACCCGATGAGAACACCCGGGCCGCTTCCTACCGGAGCACACTGGGCACCCCAGGCTCAACAAATACATCTCCTTGATTCCCTTCTCCCAGGATTTTGCACCTTGCATCGTCCCATGAATATCATGAGCGCATTCTTGTGCTGAGTGGGTCTATTGGGAACGTGTCTGCTCGGTGCTTTGAGTGGGTATGGGTCTATGTTCCAGCCGGTGTTCCTGCACAGCCTGAGCTGTTGATGCTCTAACACAAAGCAAATGCAAAAAGTAAAGTAAAGCTCCATTTTACTGTCAGAAATTTAGTTCATTTAATCTGTCTTTTTATATGCTTTCTATCTATAAAACACTGTCCATATTTACACGTAAGGTAATTTACAGTTAATGCAAATTTATGTTTTAAGCCAGAAACACTCATTTTCTTTCTTTTTACTTCCTGTGAGCTGACTCAATGTACATAGTAATTTTCTCATTATTATCTTTGATAGGCAACAACAAAATCTGAAGACAGAAATGATCCACTTCTGCTGTATAATAAAATGACCTTGGCACAACTCCAAAACAATTTCTCATTGGAAATCGATCATAAGGTGAGTGATCAATAATCTGATATTTTAACTTCTGATTTATGACTGATGAGATTAAACCATGAAGCTCGACAACTTTTTCTTTTCAAGGCATTTCTTTCTTGAGCTTAGACATGTTTGACATGGAACAGGGCACCTGACGTGCACACTATATGACCTAAACATCTGATGACATTATATGTAGAAGTCTGTGCTTCTGTACCCACTGTTTCTCCTAACTTGAAGGCAGGTCTTGCCCTCTGCTTCAACATAAAGAGACAGAAAAGGACAAAGGAAGAAAAAATATCATGAGTTTGATTTACCCTCATGGATTCAGGATGGTAAATCTTGCAAAACCTGCACGTACATAACCCTTGCTGCAAATCAGGAGAGTATCCGTGGCAGAATACAAATACATTCCCTCCCTATAATGACCACAGAAGCTCCAGAGCGCCCAGGACAGAAGTTAAGACTCAGGCACCAATCGATTCAAGTATGTTGTAGTGTGATTATTCAGGCCCTCTCTGTTCATTCAGAGCTGTAGATTCAGAACAAAAAGTCCTGGTTTTCCAACAGCCCCTCAGTAAGACGGGCTCCCAAAGCAAGCAGAAAGGAGCCCAGGCAGTCGTGCCTCTGGATCAGGAGAATTCTCCCCGTCCCTCCCACTGTAGCTCCCCCAGGATGTTTCAGCTCTGCCTTACCCTGTGCCACGTGCCGTTTGTGCAGTATAACCTTTAATTCATGGCACCACAAAGTTCGGCTAAAGAATAGCCAAGGAGTTGATAACGTGGGTGTGCCACCTCCATAACATCGTGTCTTACTGGACATGGACATTTTTTACCATAAAGGACTTCTACTTCCCGATCTGGCACAACAGGCGCTCACGTTAACTGGTGTGTGGCGTGGAAAGCACTGTGGTCTCACTGGCAGGAGTGCGTTACTGAGTCTCTTGGGGCCCGTGAGGTGATGTGAACTACTATTATTCCTACCACAGTTTCATAATCACTGCTATTTTTATTGACTTTAAATTCTTCAACTTTACATTATGTAACAGTTCACTTCTGCCTTGCTTAATTTGTTTCATAATTTACCTTCTCCCACAGGTATAGTCAAACAGTTACCATTGCAGCCCTAATGTCAGAAACGAACTTCTCTTGTCACAGAATGGTATTGCCCTGCTTATTTTTAGTTCCTGGGGAGTGCTGCAGATCAGCAATAATCATCTGCTCTAAATTTATCCAAAAATGCTCAAAAGACACATGATGGGAGTTGGTAGCGTTGTAATGGTCTAAGGATAGAACAGCAATTATTCCTAAGATTAGCTTGAAGTTTGCTGCTTCTCCTTCAAACCTGAAGTGGTTTTATTCCTGAAAGCCTATACGCTTTCCTCACCTACATTAGTCTGTCTGATGAAAGAAGTTACCTCTTCCAATTACTTTCCTCTCAAAAGATATGGACTGGGAAAGATCACCAATCATTTTCAAAGTAACGGGCATAACAAAAATTTTAAAAATTAACCAAAAAAAATTCGTTAAAAAAACCCAAATATTATTTGCACCTTCTTTTTCATTGCTAAAGTGAGCAGCTACGCAATGTGGTAAAAGCACTCAGTAGCTCTAGAGTTTTGATGATGATTTTCAGCTCCTGCTCTGAATCATTTTCTCAGTCAAACAGTGGTCCTCAGAGGCCACCGATTAGGAACTCTTGGGCCAACATGGAGAATTTGAAGCAGTGTATACATAACATCAGTGCCCTTTACTAAAAAAGTGAATAGAGAAATTGGAGGAATACGTCACTCTGTACAATCTCCAGTGTTCCAAGTGAAGGAGCCGCCTCTCTCCCCTGGTATCGTAGGGAGGAGGACAAGCAGCACATCAATACTTGTGCAAACACCAGCTGCAGGTGAACTTCCCGGGGGGAATGCGGGGGTTGTAACCTCCCGTTAATCCCACGCTGTGGCTCGGGGTCACGCGATGGAGGAGCAGCAGCAGCCCGGCTGCTTTGCCCACTTAGAGCACGGGTCAGCTCCCCGCGCTGCCTTCTCCCGGGAGGCCAGAGGATGCCTCCGTGTTCTCCAGCCAGTCCTTTGCCCCACCTGCTGTCCGAGCACATGACATGGCCAACCAAGGACTTCTCAAAGGGAAATGACTTTTCTCACCAGCAAGCTAGTAAGGGTTTCCAGCTGAGAGTGCCCTCACACTAAATAATGCTCCATTCAGACTAGATGGATGCTACAGAACAAAAACCTAACAGAAAATAACTCTTCGGGGCTGGCTCCTGCTGCCGTGTGGGCCTCCCGCAGAGGTGAATACCAGCCCAAAGAAAATCGGGGGTTAGGACCAGAGAGGCAGAAAGTGAACAAGAACTCTCCCCGCTGCCTGAGACTGGTCTGTCAGGGCATGCTGCAGACCGACCTGCTGTCAGACCAGTTGCTCCTCCAGTACCTAGTTCTGTGGCATGCAGAGGGAAATTCAGCATGGATAGTGGATGTAGCGTGTTTGGTTTAAAGCCTATTAGAATAAATCCCTTTATGGACTTCAGAACAAGTCCTCACCATATGCTTCAGAATGGATTGGCAATATACCACAAATCTTACTGCCCCAGAAATACCGAGACATACTGTACTGAAAATCACGCTCTTAAGTCACGCTTTGGTTTAGAAGTTCTTAGCCAAATATAGCAAAAAGGCAACTGAAAATTTTACTTAATATACCATTTCGGCTTTTCCAGGCTAAAAGGAAGGGGTTGTGACATTTTTAACTGTGTTAGTCTGAAATCAAAACAATGTCTCGACCCTTTCTGCTAAATATCGCCCTGTTTTAATAGGACTCTAGAGCCCAGAGGATATAAATTATCTCAGATACGACTCCATTCACAAGTAGCGTAGCTATTAGGGAAACTAAAGGCAGCACATTTGTGTTACGCAAACCTATTTAAACTGGAAAAAACAGCTAAATACTGTTTCTTCATGATTTAACCATACAGTAATGCATATTGATTTTCCAGGTATTCGACTGGTCAAAATTCATAAATGATATCATGTCAACTGTGCAAATTAATGTTGAGAACACCGAACATGTCATTGTTTATGATCCGGAATACCTTATCAGGCTGAAGACTATTCTGAATAAATATACTCCCAGGTAGGTATGTTAGGTATTTTTGTTGTTTGCATTTGATTTCCAATAAACTTAAAAAGCCAAAAAACATTACCAGCTTATTATTGTTGTTTTGTTGAACAGAGACCTTCAAAATTACATGATCTGGCGATTCATAATGGATCTTGTCAACAGCCTAAGCCGTAACTACAAGGACACAAGGAACGCTTTTCGTAAGGTGCAGAAATTAATCTCTTTTTAAGTTGTAAAGATGACTTTCGTGAACCATAAAAGGGGGTTTTTTTTACGTCCTTGTAGCATATAAAAATTTAATGTCTTTTGAATTTTGTGCACAAAAGCTAGACGCGTTTGCTGAAGCTTCTGCTGGAGTGTACACATAATTCATACGAGAGATGCTTGATGCTGGAGTGGATTTGAAAGCACTGTTCTGGTACTTGGTCTCCATGTTTTTCTGATTCTAAACTAATCCCCATTTTGGTAACGGCACAGTCCCGTTGATTTGCATATGATTACTCGGCAGTTCTGACTGGCTTGTTACAAACTCTTCAGCATCCACAGTAATACATTCAGAGTCAAACATTAGGGGCCCAATCTTGTTTTTCAATCATTTGATCCTGCAGATATTTTAGTGCTTTTAAGGAAATGCTGAGCAATTTCACAAACAGCTCAGAGATGGGAGTCCTGAAGCCCTTTGTATTTCCACAGCAGAACTTCGTACTTTGTAAGTTTGTTCAGCTCCATTAAAAAAGGTTAAGGCCATTTTGTTCTATCTGTTAGTGACACAAGAAATACTCCAACACACATAGGCAGCTTTGTAAGGAGATTCTGCTTGTTACAGAAGAAGGTAACAATTACTGGAGAAACGAACAAACGTTCAGTTTGGTCAGTTTTATGTATCTGAACAGGGCAGTCTTATTCATTGATTATTGGGCTTTTTCCCCTACTCTTTAAAGTATGAAATTATTTTAATATAAAACTTCATATTTGCTTAGTCTGCATCACCAGGGAATACTATGCATTGCACTCTATAAGCTATAAAGTCATCCCCTACTGCATCTTAGGACTTCACTGAGTGATGTTCATTTAGAAAAACATCAAAGTTTGAAAGAACAACAGAAAAAGATTTTACCATTGTCTATATATAAAAACATACAATTGTCTGCTAAATAACTAATAATATATGATATAGTATAGCTGGAGCTTCTCACAGTAAGTGCAGTGGAAATAAACTAGCGTTTGGCTTGTTAAGTTTGCTCTCAAATATAAATGTCAGGACAGTTACGGCATTCCATGAACCTCCCACACCATTTGTTTTCTGGGTTCTGTGGCTAATTGATCCCTTACTCATCCAAACCTTCGTTCGCCTGAAATACAGATTGCTTAAAAGGTGCTCCAGACAGCGCCAGAGTCCCAGCAGAAAGATCACTGATCTGCAACCACTTCCTTAAGAAACCAGCCAACAGATCTCAACAGATGACTGCACTGCACGTGTGGATGGGCCTGTAGGTGCTCCTGAGGGGCGGTGCTGTCACTCTAATCACTTAGGCTGGGTTCTCCATCTCGAGGTCAAATTGGCAAGTTTTCACTGTAACAGCAGATCTGCTGTCAAGAAGCCCAGGCGCCGGGGTGGCAGAGCGTGCCGAGCACTACCATGACAATAGTTTAACACTTCCAGCTACTGGAACTGTATCTTCAGGACACAATTATTCCCACCAAAGGAACACATCAGTATCTTCCTATTTTCCCAAGATTTATTTAAAGAGAAAAAACCTGTGTTCCCTGCTGTGCTGTAGTTGAGCATTTACGCCCCCTGAGATCAGGAGGTGTCATTTCAGATGCAGCAGCACGTACCCGTACGAATCCACAGGAACGCGTTACTGATAAGCAGAAAGTTTCTGTTACTGTAGGAAGCGCCCCCAGTTTTTTCCTGTGCGCCCCTGGTGACACTAGGCTTACTTAAAAGGGAGCCGATCTCAGGGCTCCTGTGAAGGGCAATCCCAGCCTGATGCAAGTCCCCCTGGTCTCAGTAGCCCTCTGCCCAAGGCATCCTGAGACCAGGGAGCTACGATTGACAAGGATAAGCTTGAGCAGCACAACCTGATCTACCAGAATCTTCATTGCATAGTCGTTCTGAATCAGCTCCTATTTTAATTAAGCTCAGTACTGCTAATGTTCATTACTGGTTTTGCTTTAAGGGACAGGGGTTGTATTTACTTTTCCTGTATAAGCTTTTGCTGTATAAGCGAATGACCACTGATGCGGCCCGTTTGTGTGCAGGGAGCGGCTAAGAAAGGAAGAGATTAAGGACTCGATTTTCTAGTCTATTCAGCTGTTTGTCAGTAATGAGTTACCAAAAGCACCAACATCACAGGCTCTTCAGGGAGACCTGCAACCAGCATCTCTGTGCTGCGTTGTACCGGTAACATTTTCAAAAGACCGTTCCTGCGTCTGTAATGCTCTAGGGCAAAAAGAAACATTATTTTACTGATTCAGTTCAAGGCGCGGCAGTCACAGAGCTTTTAACAGCAGAAGTCATTGATCTGTACCTCTGAAGAGATGGGTAGCTGCTTCATTGTGGGATATAAACCTCACTATAGAACGTGGTTTCGGCATGTTGCCCTATAGTGACTCTGCTGTATTCCTTGCATTCAGGTGTCATACCGTCATATTATCTCCTCAGCTTTATCACATATTTATACATTATCATGGCAACACCCTTGCACACCTTGTAGCAACATCACACAGCGTAAACGAGCTCCTACTTTGCAAGCCCCCAAAGGCGGGAGGCTCTGACAGAAGCTGCTGGTTGGGAAGAAAACACAATCTTACCCCTGCAGAAGTTAATTTGCTGCATAATCACAACGGCCCTCTCAGAGCTAGAAGGGCAATACAGATCCCTGTAACAGCGAAAGCTTTGGGTTAGGGTTTAACCTCACCCACTCTTAGCTTTTGGGGTAGTTTTCTTCTCTCTACCTTTCATGTTTTGAAAGGACAAAGACTATTGCTGATGATTCTCGTAGTTCCTCAGCCTGTCACAGATGTTCCCGTTGCAGAGCGAGGCCACCTAACTGCCGTACACACAAACGTGGATTAAATGCAGGTATTTCAGGCCACCTAGGCTCCTCTGAAACACACGTCTGCCAGTCAGTCACCGTCCTCCTTCCCCTCAGGCGGCCCAGGTGTGACTGTTTCACCCGATGTTTGTGTTTCACAGGCACTGTACGGCACCACATCAGAGACTGCTGTTTGGCGGCGTTGCGCCAACTATGTCAACAGCAACATGGAGAACGCCGTGGGGAGATTATACGTAGAGGAAGCGTTTGCTGGAGACAGTAAACACGTGGTAAAGCTTTTCGCAAACTTAGCCTGCGTGCCAGCTAAGCATCGCTCAATTGTCCCTTACCATGCTGCCCTTTACACAGCCTTGATTACATTTTTTATTCACCTTTTCTACATAGCGGGTCGCTTGCTAAAAACCCCAGCCTTCAGATTTGCTTCTCGACCAGCGCACCCCTGAGGAGTAACAGGAATGTACGTGCTGGGAGAGTCATCCCTTTGCCCCTAAGTACTCCTGCACTCCTCCCCTGGAGCTGGCCTGCTTTCCAAGCAGATGACCAGAGCGTGAAGCAACACGTGAAGTATGAAGATGACGTGTGCACGCGTGGAGAGCGAGAGGCATCTCCCACTCCACTTGCTCTATGAGCCAGCCTTGAGCCTAAAGCACCACTGGCACATTAGCCATGTTATTTCTGTTAGTCTGCGGTCACACAGAAAATTGCCGAAAAGTAACCTGAAGTTAAGCCTCGGCTGACTCCTATCACTCCTACTGTAATCCAGGCTTAAGATACCCCATTTTTGTGGCTGATGTATATACAGCAGTTTGATCAGACCCATGGCATCCAAGGGATGGGCATCTGTCAGATTTTTGGTAACCTGAATAACTAAGTCGCGTTGCCTCGTGAGCTCATGCCCGTTCCCTTTCCTCCCACGGGACAGGCTAAACGTGCTACTTAACCGGAGCTCCAGGGCTTGAGCGTGGCCTGTAACCAGCGTACGCTCAAGCAGCAAGTGCAGGAAAACCGAGGCTGTAATGAACAAACTATGGCTGCGGAAAAATAACTGGATCATCTTATGTGGATATGTAACATTCTGATGTTTTTCCCAAGGTTGAGGAAATGATTGCAGATATACGTGATGTTTTTATAAAAACCTTAGATGAACTCACTTGGATGGATGCCGAAACCAAACAGAAAGCAGAACAAAAAGTAAGTTAAATATTGGTAATGTTGTGTATTGCCATAAAAATCCATATTTCAATTGTTTTTCCTGACAAAACGAGCAGTAACATCTATCACTATTTTATATATATCAAACCACATATATTTGTGTTTGTATAGGCACAGCAGCTTACAGGCTTCCCGTACCAGATCCAGATGAGATGGGAAGGGGCCTCTGGAGATAAGCCCACAAAATAGGAGGAATCTATATACAAGATTAAGACTTTCCAGGCAAATCAGCGATCGAGGGGCTAGATCATGAATATCTACAAGAAAGTAATACTGAAAATGAGAAGGAATGATTTACGGTGACTTAATCACAGAATGTCAGGGGTTGGAAGGGACCTCTGCAGATCACCTCGTCCAACCCCCCTGCCAGAGCAGGGTCACCCAGAGCAGGTCACACAGGACTGCATCCAGGCGGGTTTTGAGTATCTCCAGGGAAGGAGGCTCCACAGCCTCCCTGGGCAGCCTGTTCCAGGGCTCTGCCACCCTTAGAGTAAAGAAGTTCCTCCTCATAGATTTGACCAGCTATAAGGAGCATAGGACAAAACTAAAAAGTCAAACCACAGGCGGGACATCATCAGTGAGTTCTCTTTTAAGGGAAGACGTAGCTTCAGACAGTTCATCTAAGTCTGGAGTAAGAAAGAAATCAGTTGTAGAGAGCCCTGAACTAGGAGTGAAGCAATTGAAAGAACTGTTTATTACATCTCTCTTTTGTTATACTGTAGAGATAATTAAAAAATTTTCAATTTTGCATTTTTAATGATCATTTATTATTAAAATTTAATTTTTAAAAAGCTTGGGAAATATCATGGTTTTATTAATTGTAGCACAGGACCAGAATTTGGTGTTAGAAAATACTAGAAAAAAACATTTAAAGTAACTATCAAAATATTACCGGTTTATCAAACCACCCTAGACTGTAAAGTCCAAAAAAAGCTCCAGCTGCCACGGAGAGCTGAGCCAGTCACGGCATCCAGTGCCCTTCCACTGACTCTGATGTGATCAGACAGTGAAGCTGCGGTTACAGGAACTCCTGTACATGCCGAGTGTCACTTCCACAGCTACACCTATGAGCAGTTACAACCACACAGGACCGCCAAAGCCTGTCCACTCAAAAGCACAGCTGGAGCATGCTTGGCTGCCTTGTGCACACTGGTGGAAGTTTACTTGCAAAGGGACAAACAGAACATACTTTCTTGAGTTTTCCATTGTTATAATTAACCATAACCTTTACTGTGCTTTCAATGGATAAAAATATGTAACAAACCCTGTCTGTAATTAATGTCCTGGGTTTTCTGCGGTTGCTTCCATATTGCATTTATTATATAATTTATAATTGACTTAAAAATATGGCCAGACTTGCTACGGATATCCAATTAACTTGTCCCCAGGCAACAGCAATTAGAGAGAGGATTGGTTATCCAGATGAGATCGTGACTGACAACAACAAGCTGAACAGCGAGTACCAGGAGGTAAGTATCCACCACAGGCCGTATGATTGGAAAAGGGTCTTAAGAGGAAACATGGTCCATTTGCCTTCACAGCCAAGCTGAACCAGATGTACCTGCACAGAGTAACTCCATGTTGTGCTTGGTTGCGTAGGTATAAGGAAGGAGTGTTAAAAGCCAGTGTAGTACAGTGATCCAGTACAGATGGTGGCAAGGATTTGATGGTATCTCAAGGGAATTTATAAATTCTAGAGGAATTATGTTGGAATACAACATGGAACCAGTGGTGTTCAGGCCAGTGTTTCTAAATCTGCCACGGATTGACGTAACGCTGGCTGAAGTGGACACAAGTACACATAACTTAGTAATTTAGCCATGGGCTGGAATTAGTCCCTGAAGTATGACATTGGACAACCTGTATAATTTAAACTGTATCTGAGCTTTTTCACAGCAAAATGTGACCTCAGTATTCTTTTACCTTGTCAGTTAATTTGTAAGAGTTAACTCATTAATGTATTTAGTATACATGTATGCTCAGGCAGAACGTGTCTTAGAAGTCAAAGTTTTAATTTTGAAAAATATAGACATTTAACCAATGTATGCTTTTTAAAACACCATTTGAGCCTTATCCATGTGCTCTTTCTATGGTGGAATTGCAGCTTACCAAGCTGGTAGCTACTGGTTTCAAGTGGGCAACTCGCAGCAGTTAGGGTCAAAACCAACAAATGCTGAACTCCACTCAAAATACATATATAAAGAGGGAATAAAGGTCTCTGGAAAAGAACATGCAGGCACTGCAAACCAAGTTCTAATTGTAGATCAAAAAATACTCTTTAAAATGCCTTGCTTTGCTCGTCATGCTTGAGACTAGATTGTTCAAGATCCATGTGTCTTTTATTGCAAAATCAGTAACACCACCACTAAGCACTTCTCCCTCTTCCTTTTTAGTTGGACTACAAAGAAGAAGAATACTTTGAAAACATTATTCAAAATTTAGTATTTACCCAGAAGAAAAGGTTGAAAAAGCTTAGAGAAAAGGTGGACAAAGAGGAGTAAGTATTTCAAAATACTGTGTATAGTCTTTCACCCACTTTCCACAAGAGGAGGTACTTAAGAGGGTAGTCAGTGATGATTTAATGACCCTCCTTCTGCACTTTTACCTCCATGAAGAGGGCAGGTGTGAGGGCATTGCTCATTTCTTAAAGGCTGGACCTACATTAGCAAGTAGGACAAAGAAACTGGGACATGGTGTAGAAGGTTGAGTATACTGGAGTAGGTCTAGTCTGGTCCCTCAGCTCCTGGAGTGGATTAAGTGGACTCCTGGAGAGCAGCTTTTTAATTAAGTTCATCTGAAAGATTAATTTCATCCCTGAGAATGTTGTTTCTCTTGCTCAGAGACTGCATGAGGAAAGAGAAAGCATGATTAAATGAGGACGAGCAGGAGTTTACTTCAGAAATATAATCCTGCTCTGAATTAAAATACTGAAGTAGAATGTAGATGTACCAAAAGACTGACACGGCACATTCCCTGCTTGTATTGGCTACTCTTCCTGTCTCAGCTCTGACCCATCTGGGATAGGAAAAACACAGGTTCTGTGTTTCAGTTTCTTTATATGGGAAATTTTGCCTGTACAATGCTGCAGTACGAGCGGAAACAGAAACTAAACCCAAGTATCGTTGTTAATCAGTTGGGATAACGAAGGGAAAGGGCTACTAAAATGATGAAGGGATCGGGGTGTCTGACGTACGATGAGGGGCTGGGTGCACTGGGGCACTGGACTTGACAATCTCCAGAAGTACCTTCCAACCTCAATTATTCTATGATTCTGTTATTCAGCTTCTAGGTTTGTTCCAGTAACCATCCACCCTGCCATGAAGAACTGAAATGCTAACATTTGTTCTTCTGTTGTTACTAGGTGGATAAGTGGAGCTGCTGTTGTCAATGCTTTTTATTCAGCAAGTAGAAATCAGATAGGTAAGGTTTGCCAACTTATTAACCGGATACAGATCTAATGGCCAAATTATTTATATGCATGTATGCATGTATTTTTAAAGTCAAGAAGTAAAACAATCTTAATATGGGGGTTGCAGAAGGGCCTCATTGCAGCAAAATGAGAGGTTTCATTCATAGTGTTTTCACCTCCTCATGTTTTGAATTGCCTTTGTGCAGAAGGACAGAGGCTTGGGATTCAGGCATGTGGAGTGGCTGGAAGTTTAATGACCAAGTAAATTAATTTGGTGGCCCCAGCCCTTTTTTTTTTTTTTTTGAGGGATGAAAAGGGAGCACAGCACTGCTTTTACCTGAAGCAAACACTGACTAAAAGAAAAGTCGTGAAGCTTCCTGCCATAGTGAACACATGGCTTCCATTCCTTACAGCCCCTTCCCACTCCTTTTGGACAAGCTTAGTTAGTCTGGCTTTGGGAAGGATGTTGAATTTCATCCTGCTGGTTAGGGAATACAGCAGCTCATTGACAGAACTGCTCAGAAGCCCGTACCGTTTCACACGGTAGGCCAGAATCAGAGCGCCCCATACTTGTTCTCACAAGCGACACTTTGCTTTCCATAAGGGTCATTAGAGAGAGTGAGACCAGTCTAAAACAAATGTATTATCAGAGCAACAAATTGATGAGGAAATAATGCTGAAACATTAGTGCAAAACCCAGCTTATTCTCAGTTTCTATTTCCTCATTTCCAGCACTTCCCATACACAGCTGTAAGATCCAGTGCTCAGAGGACAGACTCCCGTGATTAGCTTCACATAAGCTGTACTAAGCAAACCTGTCCCATGGTGCATGGGACCAGGAACTCATGGGGTCACTGCTTCTGGTGCACATGGTCGCTGTTGCAGAGCTGCTTCGGGTCCCCAGCAGACAGAAATCCTGCATGGCTCGGTCACCACCTTCTTTATGCAAAAATAGTCATGACAATCGGAACAAAACATTTGGGGCTCAGTGAAACCAGCATTTCCCAAAAGACAGTGTTGACTCAGAAATCTCTCACCAGCTATCTTATCTATAGCACGTCAAGATCCAATTACGAACCACAGCATAGAAGAGCTCCCTACTCTTTCTATACCACAGCATAGAAGAGCTCCGTATTACTTTAAGTAGTCCCATCTAAATTGCAAGTCTTAACTGTTAGCTAGCTCAAAGGCTAAGTCCTAACATACATTGTTTTACATATGGCTTAAGAAAAGTTTAAGGAATTTTGAGACATCCTTAATTGCTGTTCTTAAGATTTAGTCTGCCAGGTGACTTCAGGTTCACTGTCTGATATGTCATTTAATTCTGCTTCTTTTGTGTTGGAAAAATGAAAATGGAAACCTGGTAGATTAAATCAAGGAAAAAATCAAATTTAAAAAGAGCAGAGTTCAGTATGATGAAATAGTTTTTCTAATGCTTTTGAGTATAAACACGTCTAATGTCAGCCTACTCAAAATCATCCATGGTTAAAAATAACTTAAAATAGAAGAGAAAGCTTTAAAACACTTTAGACCATTAATTATGCCTCACAATATTTCTGTCATACCCATTTCAAATATTGTTATTATCCACACTTCATAAATTGCAGTGCCCTTTCTAAGCTATCAGTGAGGTACTATGATCCCTGTATAACTCCTGAAAACCAGTCTCTGAAAAATGAGAAAACCTTGTCCTGCAGGGCTCTGCACAGAAATGAAACAATATTATTTCTTGTTTATTTATGGAAGCTTCCAAAGAAAATATTTGGTGGAGACATTCATTGCCAGGGATGAAATTACCACTTCTTGTCAGTCTTCAGTAACAGCTCCCGATGCAGTCCCACTTCTTTTATCAAACGAACCATGAAATCAAGGTGAAAAGCGTCAGCACTCTCTTCTACTGGGCTCTTATAATACTAGTCTCAAAAAACATGTCACTGATCTGAAGACTGCCACTGCCAGCAGGACTTCAGTAGCACCAGAGGTAACCTGCAGCTGTCCTTTGGGACCAAGTGTCACGCTGCGTTACACGGCAAAAAGCTCTCCCTGCTGTTCAGCCTGCAAGCACAGCTGCACTAAGCCAAATGGATGCAGTTTTCTGCCGGTTTTTACAGGGTACGCGTAATACAGCCTACCAACATTTTCACAGTAGGTGTTTTCAGTGAAAAAAAAGTAAAGTTAATTTAGCACCGCTGATCACAGGGGTCTGGACTCTGCAAATGCAGGTTTAAAGGAACAGCATCAGGTTTATAATGGAAGAAATAAACAAACAAAGCCAAGCTATCCACAAAAGAATTTCTCCTTTTTAATTCTTTCTGTCCCCGCTGAAGAATTAAGAGGAGAAAGTCCCACAGTCCTAGATTTTCAGATTTTACTGCGGCAGGTGATCTGCTAAGCAGACTGTACAAATAGATCCTGACTTCTCCTACTAGTCGCCTGTGTCGCTGCGATAGCTTGCACCCTCAGAATCACGGAGAGTACTGGTCTGGGCGCTGTCAGCCTCAACATCAGGCAGGCAAGAATGAGGCAGCATGGAGGCAACTCCTTGTACTGGTGCAGTCGTAGTCAGGACAAGAGAATACAGCCCACCACACACGGTGCTGTTTGCATAGGCATTCATCAGCTAACTATGCTCACCTATTTTTAGGTTCCATGTCCTAGTCAAAACTTTGGTGATATTTGCCAAGGGTCCTGAATGTTTCCTGTTAACCCAAACTGCTCTGGCTTTGCAGTGGGTTCTAAAGGTAAAGCATGAAACGAGCACAGTGAAATCCAAGACAGCATTCACAGAGACACAACTGCGTTGACTCAACTGACCAGCACTGCTTGGTTAGGGCTGGCGAGACGGTGCAATCGGTCCAGCAGGCGGTAAAGCGAAGCGAGCGTTTAGCTCGTTAGTGAACATTTAGCACAAAAATCTGCTCAGAAGGCTTTGTTTCAAATAGCTTTGGTCAGTAATTCGTAGGAAAGGAATCACGATTCGGAAGACTGAAACTGGTGGCTGACAGTTAACATGAGCCATAAATTCTTACCTCAGCCTTTAGCTGCAGCGTGTCACAAGGTAATTAAAGCCGTCTGATCTTTAGAGCGATGGCTGAGTTAGCTTAGCGTTATGCTTTTTTTAAAAACCAAACCCCTCTAAAGAGGAGCGCTGTGCATGATGTGTAGGAAATTTAAAGCTCCGTTATTACATTTTAATACGGCCTGACCTTCGCTGTTGCATCGGCAGCCCTCAAAACAACCCGCGGAGCTGCTGCTGGTGAGGCAGCCCCCCGAACGCCCCCCGAGGGGCCGCTGACCCGCAGGCAGGCGTGCGAACCTGAACTGCCCCGTGCTTCTGGCCGAGGGGGGGGACACGCTGTGAACACAGTCGGTCCTGGCCAAGGCATCGCTGGTCTCAAACACAGCGGGAAGAAAAGCAGCATGTTTTCTTTTGTCCAGGGCTGCACAGAGCCTGAGGGAAACGCTTTATGCCTTTTCCCGCCTTGGGTATTTGCAAAGCTGAGAAGTACGAGCCACCCACTAGATCCTGAAGGAGTTCCATTTCCCTCTTCTTTAAATCTCTACTTGAAATGTCTCCCACTGTGGGAGGAATGCCTGTTCACTTCAGACTTGTATGATGACACAGAAGTCAGGGAATAAGTTGTTTTCAGAAGGGTGGAGTTAAAAATAAATAAAATCTCTGCATTGTGACATTTTACTCTAAAAAACGATGAGGTGACAGTGTTAAACTGAAGAGAAAGTCCTGGGGAACTGTCCGCCTCCAGGGAGGGAAGATGGTCCTATGGTTTCAAGCAAAGGACAGGCTGAGCCCCAAGCGAGTCACAGCTGTCACATTCCAGGTCACCAGGGCTGAGGTGTGTCCTTCTGAGCACACATCCTGCTGGCAGGGATCTCCAGACACTGGCGTTCTGGTGCTGCACTCCAGAGACCGCTGTTTTGCCAGTCATCAAAACAGCCCATCACACAGCGTGGCATTTACACTCTTGTCTTTACCATCAATACTTTCTGATAAGAACATCAAAACATTTGGATATTTAATTCCATGTCACACTAACAGTGTAACAGAATTACTGTGACAGCCGGCAGCACTTCGCACAGGACAGCAGAAATAGGGGTTTTCCTAACCTGTTTATTATTTTTCAGTTTTCCCATGGTTCTTTCTCCTCTTGAAAGAAACTGCTAGAGCTGTTCTGGATTTATGCCGAAATGCAAGAAGTACCTATTTTCTTTTATTGAAAACTGTCATCCAGTTCCTCTTTTTTGTTCAAGTTTTGTAGAGTTACATGCATCTTATTCCCAGTGAGAATTAATACTTCATATTGCTGCAACAGGCTGAAGTATAGGGGAAAAGCCTGCACGAGATTAAAAGTGTAACTGGATATTTTACAGAATTTTTTGTAACTCTTCGTTTATAAAAAGATCATAATTGCAACATGATTTCCTTTTTTTAATAATTTGTTCCTTAAAAGCCTAGAAAAATGAGCACAGAAGTGGGTGAAAAGAACCACTTTGTTCCAGTTCTTTCATTGCCAGCTTGGCCTATTTTATTGATTCTAGTGGGCGTTACAGATATTTTCGGTGGAAGAATAAATTCCTCTCTCTGAGACTGATTTGTGATGGGGGCAATGATCAAATAATCTCTTCTTCTAGGGGAACACCCTCTCACTTTTCATGATGTTGTGACGTTTATTTCATCACGATACAGGAGTGTGAGAATGCCAAGTGCCGTAAATTGGAAAAGTAAACTGCTTTTCTGCAAAGTACCAAAAAAACTAAAAGCTGTTCAGAATTTTACAAGCGCCTGAAGAGGGGAGTGGTCCTGCTGATCTGCTCCCACTATCCTCCAGCCATTACCACGTGTCAATTCACTTGCTGTTGCTGGTAAATCTGAGGGAGGAGCAGGACTTTGGTTGAAGCCCACAAAAAGGGTCTGTTCACGCTGTGCACACGGGATAACGAGGCAGGGCCTTAACTGTATTGTGCGGTTTTTTTACAGTCTTCCCTGCTGGCATTTTGCAGCCCCCTTTCTTCAGTGCTTCCCAGCCCAAATCTCTGAATTACGGTGGCATAGGCATGGTCATCGGCCATGAAATCACCCATGGGTTTGATGACAACGGTAAGGCACCCAGCTTCTAGTTACAACACTTGCAATGCGCAGAATGTGTAAAACATGCTTTAGGGCTTAATCATTCCAGAGAGCAGATAAAATGAAGTTTCCATATACGAGACCAAATCTGGACTTCTGAGCCGTTACAGTGTTGTTCCCCATGACGGTTCCCAAAAGCGCGATCCAATGAATCCCGCAGGCCCTCCTGTAGCTGCTGGGCTGCAGCAACAGCCCCGGACGTGGGCCGGCGGCACACAAGGGCTTTCAGTATAGTTGCTGGTTGCTTGCTTTTCCCAAAGGCTACATCAAAAACCATCATAAACTACCTGTTATTGTGAACAGGGTGGGTCACTAGGCTGGCATAGGTGCGAACTCAAGGGTCTAGCTCTCAGACCTGCTGCCCAGCCACATAGTTCACTTCCAGACCCAGGCTACGGTCAGTCCAGCATTGAGTCACCGGTCAGAACCATACCAGACTTCCTAAGAGAGCCTTAATCCCACCTCAGATCCAATCTGAATTTGTTTGCTTTCCTCTCCTGCTG